GGGCTTCTTAAAGAAAAACTAACAGGTCTGTGAGAGCCGGAATTCTTACTGGTTGGTAGGTGATCAAATACTTATGTCATGCAATAAAATGAAAATTAATTACTTAAAAATCATACAATGTGATTTTCTGGATTTTTGTTTTAGATTCCGTCTCTCACAGTTGAAGTGTACCTATGATAAATATTACAGACCTCTACATGCTTTGTAAGTAGGAAAACCTGCAAAATCGGCAGTGTATCAAATACTTGTTCTCCCCACTGTATATGACTCCTCACCTCTCCACCTGATAGCTGATGTGTGGTGAGCGTCCTGACGAAAAATGGTCGGTTGCTACACAATGATGGTGGATGAGGTGAGTGTCCCCCTACTATACTGAACAGAAATATAAATGCAACATGTAAAGTGTTGGTCCCATGTTTCATGAGCTGAAATAAAAGATCCTATACATTTTCCATTTGCACAAAAAGCTTATTTCTCTCAAATGTTGTGCACAAATTTGTTTACATCCCTGTTAGTGAGCATTTCTCCTTTGCCAAGATACTCCATCCACCTGACAGGTGTGGCATATCAAGAAGCTGATTAAACAGCATGATCGTTACACAGCTGCACCTTGTGCTGGGGACAATAAAAGGCTACTCTAGAATGTGCAGTTTTGTCACAGAACACAATACCACAGATGTCTCAAGTTTTGAGGGAGAGTGCAATTGGCATGCTGAATGCAGGAATGTCCACCAGAGCTGTTGCCAGAGAATTGAATGTTCATTTTTCTACCATAAGCCGGCTCCAAGGTAATTTTAGCGAATTTGGAAGTACGTCCAACCGGCCTCACAACCGCAGACCACTTGTATGGCATCGCGTGGGCGAGCGATTTGCTGATGTCAACGTTGTGAACAGAGTGCCCCATGGTGGCGGTGGGATTATGGCATGGGCAGGCATAAACTACGGACAACAAATACAATTGCCTTTTATCAATGGCAATTTGAATGCACAGAGATACTGTGATGAGATCCTGAGGCCCATTGTCGTGCTATTAATCCGCCGCCATCACCTCATGTTTCAGCATGATAATGAAAGGCCCTATGTCGCAAGGATCTGTACACAATTCCTGGAAGCTGAAAATGTCCCAGTTCTTCCATGGCCTGCATACTCACCATACATGTCACCCACTGAGCATGTTTGGGATGCTCTGGATTGACGTGTATGACAGCATGTTCCAGTTCCCGCCAATATACAGCAACTTCGCACACACATTGAAGAGAAGTGTGACAACATTCCACAGGCCACAATCAACAGCCTGATCAACTCTATGCGAAGGAGATGTGTCGCACTGCATGAGGCAAATGGTGGTCACACCAGATACTGACTGGTTTTCTGATCCACGCCCCTACCAACAGATGCATATCTGTATTCCCAGTCATGTGAAATCCATAGATTAAGGCTTAATGAATTTATTTAATTGACTGATTTCCTTATATGAACTTTAACTCAGTAAAATCTTAGAAATTGTTGCATGTTGCATTTATATTTTTGTTCAGTACATGTAAAGCGCTTTGAGTACCTCAGTTGGTAGAAAAAAGCTATATAAATCCAATCAATTATTATTTGTATACGATTACATGTCTCTCTATTATGCGTGGAAATATTTGGGAACAAATTTCCAAAATTAAAATCACTTGGAGCTGATTTCCTTGTGTTTCTATTTTTTTTTAAATTTTTAAAATTTATTTTTTTATTATTTTTGTGGGGGGGGGGGGTTTTTTTTTTTTTTTTTTTTTTTTTTTTTTTTTTTTTTTTCTTTTTTTTTTTTTTTTTTTTTTGTTTTTTTTTTTTTTCTTTTTTTTTTTTTTTTTTTTTTTTGTTTTTTTTTTTTTTTTTTTTTTTTTTTTTTTTTTTTTTTTTTTTTTTTTTTTTTTTTTTTTTTTTTTTTTTTTTTTTGTTTTTTTTTTTTTTTTTTTTTTTTTGTTTTTTTTTTTTTTTTTTTTTCTTTTTTTTTTTTTTTTTGTTTTTTTTGTTGTTTTTTTTTCGTTTTTTTTTTTTTTTGTTTTTGTTTTTTTGTTTTGTTTTTTTTTTTTTTTTTTTTTTGTCTTTTTTTTGTTTTTTTATTTTTTTTCATGTATTTTTATTGTTGTTTTTTTTTTTTTTTTTCTTCTTTCTTTTTTTTTTTTTTTTTTTTGTTTTTTTTTCTTCTTTTTATTTCTTCTTTTTTTGTTCTATTTCTTTTTTTTTTTTTTTTTTTTTTTTTTTTTTTTTTTTAGGGGGGGGATCAGCTTAATATTGCAGATAGATTGTATCTTCTATCAATGTAATTGTCTGCATCACTTCCAATCCCCCATGTTTTTTATTTTTATTTTTATTTTTTATATATATACACTCCCCTTTATTACTTTTCAACCCCACCATCCTTTCCCTACTTGGAGTAAATTAGTGAATAGTATTTCTATAGTATTTTACATCCAACATTATTTTTAATTTTTTTTACAGAAACAAAATATATATTATTTGCAGAAAAGCCTAATAAAAACACCGGCGAGCGTAGAGACCGATATTGAATCTTTAGTGCAGAGAGGAAGACCGAGGGACTATTTTAGCCAAATGTTTGACCCCGTATATTAACCCTCCACAACATCTACAGCCATTTACACTACAACAGAAAATAACAGAATAGAATGACTAGTGACTAGGACAAGGAATGAGTTCCTTCCCAGACCCCTTCAGGACAAACCACCTGCCTGCCGACGCCCTGAGCTTCCGTCCTGTACCGTATAGCCTTGCAGACAGGCTGTGATGAGGACTGGACATCAAAGGCAGAGAGAGTAGAAGGTTAGCAGTGGAATGCTGTGGAAAATGTAACCGTCCATGTTCTGCAACCATGAGCAGAACAAACATATACTGTAAAACTAATGGGATGCATCCTTTGAAACTTTCATTCTGATTCTCCTATAGAGACAAGAGGATGTTGGCAAGGTGGCAGAGTAGAGGTGAAACCCCAAGGCCGGGCTGGGTTACCTGAGCAGCTGTAGTTTGGCACCAGCCACCCCGCAGCAGGCCAGGCAGGTAATTTACACTAGTCCTACTTTCCCTGGCCCTAAAAATAGTGACCTACTCTGTTCTGTGGAACGGAAGGAAGAAAGTGAGGGTGCCAGGACACAACAGAACAGGATAGGACAAGGAGAGGGAGAGAGGTCAGGAGGACACAGCGTGAGATTCTAATGCCAGCGCGATGGCCAGCCAGCCACAACATGTCATGCCTGGGAGATGTGTGCATTCTGCTGCCAGACATTACAGCCTGTTCTGTGTGGCCAGTGGAGGCTGCTGAGGTGAGGACGGCTCATAATAATGGCTAGAACGGAGCGAATGGAATGGCATCAGACCATGTGTTTGATGTATTTGATACCATTCCACCTAATCCCCTCCCCAATTAAGGTGCCACCAACCTCCTGTGTGTGCGGCACCAAAAAGGGTTTTATAATTAAAAGATCATTGAGGTTTAGAAAAAGCATTGTGCAGGTTATTAAGGTCCTTCCTCCTCTACCTTGTAAACCAAACAGCACCTAGATGCTGGATCTTTACTCCACGTCCTGTTGAGGTGATTTACCCTCCCCTGTCTGTCCTAGAAACACATCACGCTTCCTCTCTCTGGAATAACTGCTGTATGCGTTCCAAATGGGACCCTATTCCCTATGTAGTGCACTACATTTGACCAGGGCCCATAGAGCTCTGGTCAAAAGCATTGCACTACATTGGGAATAGGGTGCCATTTGGGACATACACACTGTCTCGCTGGTCATCTGAGAGAACGAGGTCCGTTCATTAGTTTCTCTAATATCAGACAGAGCATCACACTAAAAGGCTTAATTACTCCACAGTCACACACAGCCCCTCTCCCTCAGATCCTCTTCCTCCGCTGAGAGCCAAGAAATAGGCTCCTGTTCTTACAGGCATGACCTAAATAGATAAGCGCTAAATAAACTAACGAACGGGATCCTTCTTTCAGCCTGAGTAGTGTTGGATTTATGCAGCTAGTTTGGCAAGGCAGCAGTAGCAGTGGAACCCATTTTCTGATAACATTCTGACAAAACAGTGCCTGGTCGCCATGGAGACCACCTGAGACAAACAGTCATACTTCTTTGGGGGTCAGAAGGTTCATGTGTGTTTAATGATTAGCTCGTTTGGTGCCGGGTGGCGCAGGGGGCGGAGAGGGCAATGTATGAGCAGGAGGGTGACACTCCTGACCTGATCTGAGAACAGTGTAACAGCAGTCAGCTTGCAGTATTCCATTACAGAGGAATAGATAGGCCTGATTCCAGACCTGCTAGAAACAAACACACGTAAGGGCATTTCACCAAGCTATACTGCACACCATAGTTGCTGGAACAGTGAAAACCTGCAGATATTTTATCCCCTGTCCCTCCCTTGGTCAGCACTCAACTAACACATTATTCCTTCTTATATACTGGGGTTGTCAACACAACCATACAGTAAATAACAAACTACCTGTGCCTTTATTGGCTGCATGCTTCTATAAATGGAGACTAAATGGTACAGTAAAAGCATTGGCATTTCAGCTGTCACCGCCACAGAGCAGAATGGTGTGAGGGAAGTTTCCCTAACATCACTGTAACTATTGCTTAATGGGCAGAACAAAGAGCCATTCTATTACCTGGGGCCAGAGCCATACATCATGTCTGTATAATGTAGGTCAGCTATCAATGGAGAATAAGTACATTACAGATTTATTCTGCTCATAAAACATAATGCATCGCTTATTGTCTGGCCTGTCCTGGATTATATATACTGTATGAACTGGATGAGAGTTGGCCCTTCACATTTTCAATAGGATTTGTGATAGATATTTATGCAGGATTTCTGATAAAGACTTCTATCTCACTACATGATAGGTGTTGTGCGTATGTGTGTGTGTGCTTGTGAGCAGACGCATGGTGAAGGGAGAATGCCAATGCGTTCATTGTGAGTGTGTGCGTGCATGAATGCCAACATACCGTCACCTTCTCTAAATCAGCTTCTGAGGAGGTGGGAGACAGAGGGCTGATGGGGCTAAGGGAAGGGGAGCTCCCCACACTGGATATGTGCTCAGGATCAGGAACGTACAGAACCTGCAAACACAATCCATGTCTGGATTTAAACAGGCCTACACACGTGTGTGCACACAGAGAAAGGAACATACACTACCAGTCAAAAGTTTGGACACACCTACTCATTCAAGGGTTTCTCTTTATTTTTTACTATTTTCTACATTGTAGAATAATAGTGAAGGAAATAAATTCCACAAATTAACTTTTAAGAAGGCACACCTGTTAATTGAAATGCATTCCAGGTGACTACCTCATGAAGCTGGTTGAGAGAATGCCAAGAGTGTGCAAAGCTGTCATAAAGGCAAAGGGTGGCTATTTGAAGAATCTCAAATATAAAATATATTTTGATTTGTTTTAACACTTTTTTGGTTACTACGTGATTCCATATGTGTTATTTCATAGTTTTGATGTCTTCACTTTTAGTCTACAATGTAGAAAATAGCAAAAATAAAGAAAAACCCTTGAATGAGTAGGTGTGTCCACACTTTTGACTGGTACTGTACATGCAAAGACAGAAGTGACTATGAAAATAATAATGTTTTCAGCATAATTTATGACATCACAAGGTGGACAAACAACAAAAAGTGAAAGCACACAATGCGTGTCATAAAACCATCAGATGTACTATTTCTCACACTGTTTCTGATGTTTTTAGAGTTCATTATGCTATGACTAAGTCAACATAGGATATGTTGAATATAGATCTTTGTTCAAGCACTAGATTAGCATGTGTTGTCGGCGTTAAGGATCTTGAGAGGCCCTACTTGTGTCTCCTTGTCCCCCTGAGAGCAGGGCCAGACAGTTAAGTGGTGGTGAGCGTGTTCTGACTGAATGGGCCCAATGTGACGCCATGGCAGGCTAAGTGTAGCCAGGGACAGAACAGGAGTTTTTCTGATCCCAGTGTGTGTGCGTGTGTGTGTGTGCGTGCGTGTGTGTGTGTGTTCCTCTGTGATAATACTGGTGGTGCTAAGGCAGTGTTTGGTCATGGATCCCAGTAGAGAGATGCTGAGAGCCCTCCAGAGCTGGCTGGCTGGTTGGAAACAACATCAATAACCCTGCATTGTGCGTCATATTGCTGAGTGCTGCTACTGACTCTGACTGTCAATGTGATTGCAGACTCCCCGCCTTGACTCTCCATTTGAGTAGATTCGAGTGGCTCTGGTTCTGACGCCAGGAAAATACCAACTTTGGCTGTTTGTCATGTTCTGGGGTGCTATTTGGGGCCTCAGAGAGAGTTCAATAGGACACAACCGAAATAGGGAGACATTGAGCCCAGCGACATTGAGCCCAGGGTTCTGTTCAGTAGCCACGGAACGAAACAATCCGAAACTGCGTAAAAGAGGGAGGTACTAGCTGAACTTTGTCCAATAAGACATGCTTGTTTTTTGTTTTCCGTTGTGAAGCGTTTTGCTACGATATGTCCTAATGAACAGAACCCATGAAGTTGTACCTTTTTAATGCTATTGCCTGAGGACTGGGGGGTTTTCAACACCCTGTTTCCCATGACACAGATGTCTTAGCGGAATAAACACACATAATGTTTTAACTCTTATGAGTGGTTAGTAGTGACTTTGTGTGACACCAGTATATGCCATTGTCAGAATCAATGGGAAGAGAGAGCAGGGATGAGGAGTGGGTGAGTGTTAGTGGTTGTGGCATGGAGGATAGATGCAGTGAGAGAGAAACACACCAAGCATGAGTGTAGTAGAATGGTGTTTCTCAATCCATTCCTCAGGGAACTCTTCCAGGACTGTACATTTGTCTTACAGCCCAGCATTAGCATACCTAATTCAACCTAATCAAGGGGTTTGTGACAACAGTAGTTGACTATTTGAATAAGGCATGCTAGTGTGGGGCTGGAACAAAAAGGTGTTGCCCAGGAGGTCTCTGAAAGTGACTGGGAACCAGTGATGGGTGTACAGTAGATCGTGTTCACACCTGGCCAGGACAGACGGCTCTGGAGAACAGCTTGTTGAGCTGAACCAGTTCGTTGGGCGTGGTGTCAAACTTGAGCGCTATGTTGTTCAGTGTGTCCCGCGTCTCCACCTGGAGGACCACAAAACAGAAGAGAAGCACAGAATATCACAACTCCGGTCCTGTACTGTACTGTGCTGGCTTCCCACATGAGGAGAGAAACTCTGCTGTCTTATCTTCTCCTCTCAGAGATGAACATGGACCTGGTGTGTAGGAGAGTATGCAGACTGGCTTGGTGTGTAGGAGTGTATGCAGACTGGCTTGGTGTGTAGGAGAGTATGCAGACTGGCTTGGTGTGTAGGACTGTATTCAGACTGGCTTGGTGTGTAGGAGTGTATTCAGACTGGCTTGGTGTAGTTCAGTAGTGTATTCAGTCTGGCTTGGTGTAGTTCAGTAGTGTATTCAGACTGGCTTGGTGTAGTTCAGTAGTGTATTCAGTCTGGCTTGGTGTGTAGTAGTGTATTCAGTCTGGCTTGGTGTAGTTCAGTAGTGTATTCAGTCTGGCTTGGTGTAGTTCAGTAATGTATTCAGACTGGCTTGGTGTAGTTCAGTAGTGTATTCAGTCTGGCTTGGTGTAGTTCGGTAGTGTATTCAGTCTGGCTTGGTGTAGTTCAGTAGTGTATTCAGACTGGCTTGGTGTAGTTCAGTAGTGTATTCAGTCTGGCTTGGTGTGTAGTAGTGTATTCAGACTGGCTTGGTGTAGTTCAGTAGTGTATTCAATCTGTCTTGGTGTGTAGTAGTGTATTCAGACTGGCTTGGTGTAGTTCAGTAGTGTATTCAGACTGGCTTGGTGTGTAGGAGTGTATTCAGACTGGCTTGGTGTAGTTCAGTAGTGTATTCAGACTGGCTTGGTGTGTAGGAGTGTATTCAGACTGGCTTGGTGTAGTTCAGTAGCGTATTCAGTCTGGCTTGGTGTAGTTCAGTAGCGTATTCAGACTGGCTTGGTGTAGTGTAGTAGTGTATTCAGACTGGCTTGGTGTAGTTCAGTAGCGTATTCAGTCTGGCTTGGTGTAGTGTAGTAGTGTATTCAGACTGGCTTGGTGTAGTTCAGTAGTGTATTCAGACTGGAGATGGTGGATGAGGGCTGTTCATTATATAGCACCACTGACTGCACTAACTGGAGGTAAGGAAGAGCATGTGTTTACATGAATGTCAATATGAGCCTTGTTTTACAATATGACCTTACTCACATGACACCAACCCACCAGACAAACACCTGACGTTCACATTCAATCATTATCCAGCTTTGGTTGACATCTTAGTATATTTGGCCCGGTGGATAAACAAACTTGGTAAAGGGGGGAACAGGATGTATTTTACATACATTACATTATTCTATAGGCCTACAGCTTGTACCGTACTGTTTGTGTGCTATTTCAATGTCTCTTAGAAGATGCAGACTGAGTGTCACAGACCCAACAGCCTGTGTGGGTTGACATTGAGGCAGACTGGCAGTGTGCTATTCTATCTACTTCCTGTAGCCAGCTGTGTCCTTTAAAGTGACACAAGTGCATTAGCCAGATTATTCTGGTAGCTATATAACTGCACTACAGAGACATGTGTCTGAGCTGGTAAATAACTCACAAGTCCTGTGGGGTTCTGCCTACCAACTAACGATGACAGGGATGTCAAGAACTCCTAGTGTGTGGGAGAGGGGGCTCGTGGGAGAGGCAGGGGAACAGAACAGACGGTGTATAAAAGCAGGACTATAAAAGCAGGACTCCTGACAGTGACTCTGAGCTGTATAATGGTGGATCATGGGGCTGTGTAACAGTCATGAGACTGGTTCAGTCAGGTGACTCCATAGGACAGAGGAGGAAGGAAACAATTCAAAACAACATGGAGGAATGTCATTGTCAGCTCTTCTAAACTTGTAAGACAAACAACTTCTCTCCAGACAGGAGGATTGTCTTGGGCCCAGACAGAAAGACAGAGAGACAGAAAAACAAAACGCACACACACGCCACGCACGCTACACTCCGCACGCACACAGAGTCATAAACAGGACAAGCAGGGATTAACGTGTGCGTCAGGAGAACTCAACAGACACATTGGAAAATTAATAAAGTAGGATCATTGTGTCTGTGACAGTCACATATGACACCAACATAATCATTTTCAAATGCTACAAACACAGAAGAAACAGAAAAATACAGAAATACAGAAGCTCAAATACAAAAACAGAAGCTCAGCTATACAACCAAACCACAACGGCCACGTTGCGTGGGCGAGCGTTGCAAAATAAATGTACACATACAGTGAGGGAAAAAAGTATTTGATCCCCTGCTGATTTTGTACGTTTGCCCACTGATAAAGACATGATCAGTCTATAATTTTAATATTAGGTTTATTTGAACAGTGAGAGACAGAATAACAACAAAAAAATCCAGAAAAACGCATGTAAAAAATGTTATAAATTGATTTGCATTTTAATGAGGGAAATAAGTATTTGACCCCTCTGCAAAACATTATTTAGTACTTGGTGGCAAAACCCTTATTGGCAATCACAGAGGTCAGACATTTCTTGTAGTTGGCCACCAGGTTTGCATACATCTCAGGAGGGATTTTGTCCCACTCCTCTTTGTAGATCTTCTCCAAGTCATTAAGGTTGAGGCTGACGTTTGGCAACTCGAACCTTCAGCTCCCTCCACAGATTTTCTATGGGATTAAGGTCTGGAGACTGGCTAGGCCACTCCAGGACCTTAATGTGCTCCTTCTTGAGCCACTCCTTTGTTGCCTTGGCCGTGTGTTTTGGGTCATTGTCATGCTGGAATACCCATCCACGACCTATTTTCAATGCCCTGGCTGAGGGAAGGAGGTTCTCACCCAAGATTTGACGGTACATGGCCCGTCCATCATCCCTTTGATGCGGTGAAGTTGTCCTGTCCCCTTAGCAGAAAAACACCCCCAAACGCATAATGTTTCCACCTCCATGTTTGACGGTGGGGATGGTGTTCTTGGGGTCATAGGCAGCATTCCTCCTCCTCCAAACACGGCGAGTTGAGTTGATGCCAAAGAGCTCAATTTTGGTCTCATCTGACCACAACACTTTCACCCAGTTCTCCTATGAATCATTCAGATGTTTATTGGCAAACTTCAGATGGGCCTGTATATGTGCTTTCTTGAGCAGGGGGACCTTGCGGGCGCTGCAGGATTTCAGTCCTTCACGGTGTAGTGTGTTACCAATTGTTTTCTTGGTGACTATGGTCCCAGCTGCCTTGAGATCATTGACAAGATCCTCCCGTGTAGTTCTGGGCTGATTCCTCACCGTTCTCATGATCATTTCAACTCCACGAGGTGAGATCTTGCATGGAGCCCCAGGCCGAGGGAGATTGACAGTTATTTTGTGTTTCTTCCATTTGCGAATAATCGCACCAACTGTTGTCACCTTCTCACCAAGCTGCTTGGCGATGGTCTTGTAGCTCATTCCAGCCTTGTGTAGGTCTACAATCTTGTCCCTGACATCCTTGGAGAGCTCTTTGGTCTTGGCCATGGTGGAGAGTTTGGAATCGGATTGATTGATTGCTTCTGTGGACAGGTGTCTTGTATAAAGGTAACAACCTGAGATTAGGAGCACTCCCTTTAAGAGTGTGCTCCTAATCTCAGCTCGTTACCTGTATAAAAGACACCTGGGAGCCAGAAATCTTTCTGATTGAGAGGGGGTCAAATATTTATTTCCCTCATTAAAATGCAAATAAATTTATAACATTTTTGACATGCGTTTTTCTGGATTATTTTGTTGTTATTCTGTCTCTCACTGTTCAAATAAACCTACCATAAAAATTATATACTGATCATTTCTTTGTCAGTGGGCAAACGTACAACATCAGCAGGGGATCAAATACTTTTTTCCCTCACTGTACATGTTATTTAATCATTTCACCCACACCGCTCACACGTGTGAACTAGCATCTGTGGATTAACTGTCGGAGTAGAGAAACAGAAGATTTTGTATGACTCCAGGTCAAAATTCTACAAAGAACCAGTTAAAAAGAGGACCATATGCATGTCAGGTAAAATAACAACCCAGGGCTCTATTTTAATAATGCATTTTAGCAATGGTAAATCTTAGGGCTGGCGGTTGGGCTATAGGTCCGGGGCTGTATCAGGAATATTCTAGCTATTTTCACTGCGGTAATTATGAGCAGAATAGCTTGCGGTAGCGCAAAAAGGCTGGGTTTTGATGACTAAATCAATTATAAGTGTGACGAGGACTTAATTATAAGTGTGATGACCGTTTCATGGCTTAATACGGCATGCCGTTGTCTCAAGTTCTGTCGGTTATTGACGGTCTTTGCGTTGTCATCAACTCTAATTCGGCTGGGAGCACAGAATATTCTCTTCCTAGTCCATTGTGGATTGATACAGTTTATTAAATAGCATAGGCTACAGTAATGAGTAATAGCAACAGTAAAGAAAAAACATCCAGTGTTTGATCAATGTGTTTGGAGTGTTGACAGTCAACATGGTTGTAACTGACTTCAACGAGTATAGGCCTTTACGCATCGCACTTCTCCTCAAATAAGAAATACTAGGCTCCCGTAAATTATATTGTAGGTGTGAGGAACATTCTAAATAAGCAAGATATAGCCAGGCCTTCTGTTGATATGGCGTTATAGCACTTAACAATTTGAATATGTTTGGAGGAGCGCGTCTTTGGTAACCAGACAAGAGGCGCTCTTTGGAATTGGGGATGGGTCCAAGCCGAATGGAGTAGTCTATGCACTGCAGGTAGGCCTATGTGAATTGTGAATAATGCAAAAGCATGATAGCAAAAGCCTCAGGAGTAGACCATTTAGAAACCTTTTATGGCTAGGCTACTTGGCTAATGCATGGCCATGATAAGAAAGACACCAGACGCATTGCTGTTGAACCAGCTTTCATTATAGTAGGGTAAGGGTAGCCTATAAGGGCTTGTTCTTTAATCAAACAAAACTGAAAACAATCTATGGTTACAGGAAAATAACTTCAATGTTTCTAAATAAGAGTGTCACTGGATCATCTCATCTCTCGTTCCAGAATGGGCATAAAGCCTACATGGAGGGTTTTTTACGCACATCCAAAATAATAAGAGGAGTTGGATAAAATGATGTACAATAGCCTACATAGATAAAAAGGGGAAGTTCCCAAACTAGATTTATTTCAAAGCGGTGTCACGAGCCAAACCCTTTATGATAGTCTTGGCTACTTGGCGAATGCATTGGGTAGGACAAACAAAACTGCCTTCATTGGTTTTTAATCAAATGCGAGGTTTACGGGCACAAAAAGCACATCTCTCGCGTTCCATGTGCATATGGGCACTGTGCGCAAGGGTTTGAAAACAGAAGAGCGCCGGCTTTAACAGGTCGAAATTGCAAACGAGCAAGCTTTTGGCAATTGTTCATGTCCCAGGACAAACTAGCTAGCAACAGTTAGCTAACTAAATGTTGTTGATAAAACAAGTTTACTGGAGAACTGAGACCAAGTAGAGACTTCGGACAGGGTGGATATGGTATAATAAAGGCAGTTTATTCAGAGGTAAAGATATCTGGAATCGCGTGCACGGACCCGTTCGTCAATCTCGTAGGGAGATATCTGAGAGAGCCCCGAAACATTGTGTGCTGACATTTTATACAATAAAAGGAAGTAGGTTGAATCTAGTAGTTCTGATCTTCTGATTGGTCCTGATGAGTTGGGCGAGGTCCCCTCCAGGTTAGTATCACTGTTGCATTGGCTCTGAGTCGGGTTCTCTGTCTTCAGATGTTCAGCCTAAGAGAAGGGGATTTGTGTGTGTGTGTGTGTGTGTGTGTTTAACAGTGATGATGTGTGTGTGTGTGTGTGTTATCAGTGATGATGTGTGTGTGTGTGTGTGTGTGTGTTTATCAGTGATGATGTGTGTGTGTGTGTGTGTGAGATGTTTCATGTGTGTTTTGACCTGCCCTGAAATTAATATAATTGATTCACAGTTCATTTTGGTATTTTAACCTACGTGTCATGATCGCATCTGCCGAGGATAGACAAAATCAACATGATGGCGCACGCAGGCGCACAAATGGCCGGTGTAGTCAGCATGTTAGCAACCATGGATCGCTCTCGTGTGTGTGTGTGTGTGTGTGGTGTTAGGGAGGAGTGACTAAAAGCTGCAATATGACCCGACCAAATGTACATAGAAATGTGAGTTATAGATCTGTCAGTATCATTTAAAGCAAGTCTAAGAAGTGGTAGATCTGTTCTATGTGCGCTATTTCTATGCTTCCCATTCTTAAAGTTCGTTTTTGCGTCTTTTACTTTCGGTTCTGTACACCAGCTTTAAACAGTTGAAAATATTTTTGGTTATTGAAAATATATTTCACAGCGGTTTAGATGGTACAATGATTCCCTACACTGCTTGTTTTGTCACATAGCCTTATTTTAGTTTAACTATTATAATTTTTGCAACCAGGAAATGGCGGAGCGACTTATGCATATTGCACTTTTAATTATACTACACACGCTGTTTTTTTTAACAACTTAAAATCCCAAACCATCTTTAGAAGACAACAAAACAATTTTCCAGTGCAAACTACATGAGGATAGTGCTATTTTGGATGTTAACTGAACCGGACACCAAGCTAAATAACAAAAATACTTGGACAGAATCAATATCAAACCATGCCTGTATAAAGACTGGAAATGACAAAATGATGTAAGGAACTTTTTAATGTAACCAATAAACAATTTGGCTGCATCTGAAATGGCACCCTATTTCCTATATAGTGCACTACTTTTGACCAGGGCCAGCATATGGCTCTGGTCAAAAGTAGTGGACTATATAGGGAATAGGGTAAAATATTGGACACAACCAATCACTTCAGCAGACTGACACTGTCGATGACATAGCTTTTAGAACTGCCAACTCAAGGACTACTGTGATTGATTTGTAGTCTTATCAGATTGGCTATTACAACATATCATGTTGATGAATATAGTGTCTTGAAAAGGAAGGCACAGAAAGGCACTGCTGTTGATAACAGACACCAAAACAGTTGGACTAGGAGACATCGCAATGACAACCACCACATTTACAGCCTAGAGATGTTAACAACATCTTAAAACAACAAGCCAGCCTGTCAACAAAAAGTACAAGCTCAAGAATAAAACTCTACAATATTTACAACTTAGTGTGTAGAACTTAAGAATACTTGGAGTGGCAGTGTTAAATTAACTGTTATTTATATCGTTTCGCAGGAGATTGAATAAAAGGATGTCTCTTCGGACAGAAAGCCAAATCCTATTTTAGCTTGTTGGGAACATAAGCAGACAGTCAATATCCACCACATACTGTTACAGACTGTATCGCCAACACTAATGCAGGCAGTACAGTCTTTCATCCAGACTAGTTCAGCAGTAGCAGCACACTGCATTGATTCTTCCTGAGTACCATTTGCTAACATCTCATCCATGGACTATTTATTTTTAGCTTTAGCTCCTCAATTCAGCACCATGCATTTCGGCACAAATACAACCTGTTTCAACACTGTTTCCCTATTGGACAGTAATTTAATGCCTGTTGATGGGAATCATGAATTAACAATTCTAATTATTATATGCGTATTGCCTAACTGTTAGACAATCCATATTAGGAGGACACACACACCAGACACACACACATACATACAGTATGTTACAGACATCCTGGTGACTGGTAATGGTCACCTTGTCTGACTGAGAGGACAAACTGATTCAAGAAGGACAGACAGACAGAGCTGACTAATGGTGCCATAAAAAGACACACATGTCCAAAACTCTACCCTGTGGTGGAACATCAGACTGGACAGACCCGTGGAACAGCAGTGTAGCCTACCATCATGTTGATGCTTGCTAAGTAAGCTATAACCTGGCCCAGATACAGTAAATGCATGAAAAAATATATATATATATATATATATATATATATATATATATATATATATATATATATATATATATATATATATATTGAGAGAGAGAAAATTCTCTAATCCAGGGATTAATCAAGCCAATTCAATTCCCAATAAACCGACGTCAAAACTGATAGAATCCAAAACAAGGTGAAATGTGAGTCACTGAAAAAGAAAAGTGAAAAAAAGAAAAACATATCAGACAGGTGAATCACAATCAACACATTGTAATGAGTCAGAGTGCGTAATCAAACAGGAATGAATATAGATTTTACATTCTGCAAATGGTTTAATCACCCAGAATGTAATATCAGAAGGACTATCGGCTCCAGAGGCTTACAATGCAGCCTGTCTGATGAAGCCTGGCTATGTGCATATGGGATGACAGTTGCCATAGCGACTTTGTCTTTACTACCCTAATGGCATGCACTGTGTGTGCCACTGCTGTGCCGTTGTTCATCATTCAGATGCCTAATTTTACAGCTATTACAACTGACAGCTAGGACAGACATTCTCCCAGTCAGAGGCAGAGGAAACAGCACAGCAAAGGAGACCGTGACTCCAATTCAAGCCAAGTGTGTTGATTTTTAATCCGAGGGTATCCTGCTATTGACACACTTGTTGAATTATGCAAGAGAACGTGACCACAACAGTAATTCATGAGGCAGTCTAGAGAGCGCAGGTAGGGTAGACAGCAAGTGTTTGGTGGTTGCAGCCCTGTTCCCCCCTTTATGTTAATTTATGCATATATGCATATATGTAAAAACGTCAGTGTGTTTATGCAAATTAGGCACCTATCATTACATTTGTTTATAACGAATAAATACAAAATTACAATAAATTACCTGAATTCCCACCAAAATCACTGAACTCCATTATTTGTCCATGCCAGTAAAGTGTTTTATATGCTATAATTCAGTCAATATCTGATGGATTATAACAATTCACAAATTTGGGAGTATCATCATCCAATGCCCAACTGTTGCATTAATTATAATTGTTTAAAAAAAAGTTTAAACATTTCAATGACCATTGCTACTTAAACATTTGAACCGGGGACCGATGCATATTGGTGAATCGTTACATCCCTAATAGGAACCATATGGGACACATACATTGGCCTAGAAGAAGCTAACAGAACATGGCATTGCCATGGCTACTACATCTCCAATAAGCATGGTGCTTATAGTAGGTGAGAAGATAGTGGAGCTGCAGCACATGCGTTGACATTTGACTGCTGCTCCTCAGAGTTGTTATTGTGACAGAGTGGGTGGTGACAGTGCTGATGACTGGCCTCTCCTCTCATCTCTCTCTCTCACATACATACAGATGTGAAAAGCCTGAAACAGTGGGCCCATTCTGGCCCCACACCAGTGTGAATAATGCTATCAAAAGGAGTGATTGTGAGGACGCAGTCCCACACTGACTGACTCATCCATTTCCAGTAATCAATTCAACGCGCACACACACACACACACCCTACCTGCAGCGCGGCACAGTGCATACTACAGTCATTAGGAGTCCTTACCTAACACTGTGCTGAATTACCACACAACTGGAAGATGTGTAGAGTCATTAACTGCAGTATTAAGACACATTAAAATGTCTCACCGTTGCTGTAGGGTCATTCCACCTCAAAAAGCACAAGAAAGAGGATTTCGACACCCACCATCAGAATGTTCTGAAATCGTTTCTGTAGCTAGAAAAATATGCAACATTATTTTGTTGAAATATAATTTGATCCATAATTTGATCCATGTCTTCTTCATTGTTAGAATTTTTGGGGTCCAAATCAGATGTTATGTACTATATTTATTGAATATTAAATGAATCCTATAATTCAAAATGGCCAATTTGGGTGCAATCAATTATATTTCAACAAAATAATGTTGCAGGAATGCTAATCTTATCTTTTTCTATCTACAGAAACGATTTCAGGACAATCTGAGATGGCTTGCTGAAATGACATGGAACGACAGTGTAGTCCATTCCATTCCCCTCTACTTCCTGGAGTTCAAACAAACACCATTTTTAATTGGCTGAAGGTCAGCCAATAGGTGTGCCCATCAGAATGAGAAGGCGTTATCTGTCTCTAGGCGGAGAGAGATCATAATATTTGATAAAGCAGCAAAGCCTCCCTTTCCTTTGCTGTAGGCACCAGGCAGCGGATTATAAACGTATCTATCTGGTGAGAACGGATGGAAACAGTAGCCATCCGTCCCCAGGCCCAGCGCAGCACAGCACAGCGTGGAAGATCAGTTTAAGATAAAGCCGCTTCTCAATCACTGGGAAAGTCTCCATGCATCTAGGGCTATCTCGTAGGACGGGTGCTGTGTGTGTGTATGTCTCTATGCACGCACGTGTGTGTATGTGTGTCTGTGTGTGTGTGTGAGGGATGGAGGTAGCCATGCCACACAACCTTAAAAACTCTCTAAAGGCCGGCGTTGCAGCATGTCATGACTGGAAACTTCACACAACCGTTGGCATGGGTCCCTCCATCCATCACAATATTATCTGGGATCCTTCCCGCGGGAGAGAGAGAGAGAAACACAGAGAGAGAGAGAGAGAGAAACAGAGAGAGAGAGAAACACACAGAGAGAGAGACAGAGAGAGAGAGAAGGGGGGGGTGTAGTGGCCAGCAGGCTGGGGAGATGGTGGTGCGTGCTGTTGTGTGAGTGAGATATGATATAAGCATATTTTCCCTGAATCTAATGTTTATCCACTGTAACACCCCCTCTCTCTCTCTCCCCCCCCCAACACCAGTCCATGACAAACTGCCTTTCCTTTGACAAATATCCTGTCCTGTCCTCCTGCCATTGTACACTTTTCACGCCCCAGCATAAAACAACTGGCTTGTCAATCACCCTGTGGCACAGAGAGACAGCCAGGTCTGTTCTGAGGGGAGGTGGTAAGAGCGGCTCAGAGGTGGGGGTAGGGGCTGTTCTGAATGACACCTGTCCAAAAGGTGCCAAGTGCAACAGCAACACCAGAGATAACAGAAAGCATTGGAAGGACGCACGCAATCACTGCTGAATCAAAGCAGCAGAGCAATTACTAAGAGAGAGAGAGAGGAAATATAAGGGGGAAAAACATGTCTCTGGATGCTGAACCATGTCATCAAACAAGGTGGAAATCAATGTGCTGGCTAAATGATAGCTGTGGCCACCAGCTTTCCCTCTCCTCCCTCACTCCCTCCCTCCCTCCCTCCCTCCTCTCCTCCGTGGCCAGGCTTATCGAGCTCCACTGCATTCCGCTTCCCATGCAGCGTTACCAGGGAGAAACGAGAAGAGAAGAGAGAAACCTGCCTGACTGAAGCTGGATTTGAGGGTCATTTCAAGAACACTACCAGCCAGAGCAGCAGCAGAGACAGGCTCCATTTTCAGGTCACTGGATACGGGTCTGTCTCACTCTCACACAAAAGAGATGCCAAATCATTAGAAATGACAACACCAGGTGGAAGGTAATTCGTAAACAGCAGTGGAATGCTCGCTGCTAAGCGCCACACAGAATGAATAGAATAACAAATAGACTACACATTCTGACTCCCCCTCTCTCCACCCCCCTGCCCTCCCCTCCCCTCTGGCCAAAACATACATACGTACACAGCTACAATCCTCTCTCCTCCTATACATCAGAATGCAAAATGGAACAGGATTGATACACATGTCTAATCTATTAGAATACATTCCCATCATACGGTAGAAAGGCAATAGCTCTGGCTGGCGATAAAAAAGTCACCCTTTATGTAAACAGACATCGAACGATGCACACGTGCGACTGTAGCAAAATACTAAACGCTTCGTTCTCTCCCTCCACACACACACACACACACACACACAACGATGTGAGCCAGCATGGCCAGGCTCATTTTCATAACACACCAACACAACAGCAGGGCAACAGCCAGTAGACACACAGAAGCACAGCAGTAGCAGCAGTAAAAAGCATTAAAAACACCCAGACAGAGAAGACACAGTCTGAAACCCTGTTTACTTACAGCATACTCAACGGTTCCTTTGGGTCTCTGGAACGACATGCGTCTGCTGCCATCCTTCTTCTCCTGAGTCTTCTTCTGGCCGGTATCTGAAAGCAAGCGAGGCAAGGTACGCATTACGTTCATGTTCCTCTCTCTCCCCAGCTTGCCTTGTCACAAGCCACCGTTTCCCAGACACACGGGTAGACAGCTCATTCGTCAACAGTGAGCGTGCGAGCCAGTCAGCCTGCGATGTGAGCGGAGTGGAGCCTCTTTCGCTCTCCCTCTCCTCGCAAGCTCTCACCACTCTAGCTCTCCCTCTTCTTCTCTCGCTCTCCTCCTCTCTCTCGTTCCCTCTCTCTCTATGTAGCCTTCCACCACGCAGCACAATGACATGCGTTGATTCCCATTCACCTTATCTTCCCCCTGCTGCTGCCTCTCCTCTCACAGCAGACACACAGCACCTTGACCTCCATGACGAACTGAGGAGGACTGGGAGGGAGGGGAGATCGAGGGGGCTGAAGGCAGGATCTGAGAACTTGGACTAGGGATGGAGCTGGGGCTAGGGGAGACAGGAAAGGGTCGTGACTCAGGTATTCTATGGGGTATAGGTATGTGGGGGTATGGGGTTAAGGGGCTGGGGGATAGGACTGGGGCTGGGGGTATAGGGCTGGATATGAGATCACATGGATGGGGCTGGGAGAGAGCAGGGGCCGAGGGCTGGGGGTGGAAGGCTTACAGTACAGTGCACATATCTCAGTCGGCTAGGTTCACCCCATTATGTACAGTATGTAGGCTATGTGCAGCAGATCAGATCAGAAGCCTAACAAGTCCTTTACTTCTTCTGTCTTTGTCACAGAGCAGCTCGGCTGAAAACGAGTCATTCGCCATGCAGCCATTCTATTTCTGGGGCTCAGGACTCACTGCACTGAAGAGGGAGAGAAGAGGAGGAGCTGCTTCAGGTGGAGCTGAAGCCATGACTCCACTCTGTATTCACAATGATAGGCAATGTAGTAGGTTTAATGTTTGCAGTCTGTCAAATGCACCATAAAGCCTGAGATAGCTTTGGTGATCAAACGATGAACAGATGTGCATTGAAGCATATACAGTGAGGGAAAAAAGTATTTGATCCCCTGCTGATTTTGTACGTTTGCCCACTGACAAAGACATGATCAGTCTATAATTTTAATGGTAGGTTTATTTGAACAGAGAGAGACAGAATAACAACAAAGAAATCCAGAAAAATGTTATAAATTGATTTGCATTTTAATGAGGGAATAAGTATTTGACCCCTCTGCAAAACATGACTTAGTACTTGGTGGCAAAACCCTTGTTGGCAATCACAGAGGTCAGACGTTTCTTGTAGTTGGCCACCAGGTTTGCACACATCTCAGGAGGGATTTTGTCCCACTCCTCTTTGCAGAACTTCTCCAAGTCATTAAGGTTTCGAGGCTGATGTTTGGCAACTCGAACCTTCAGCTCCCTCCACAGATTTTCTATGGGATTAAGGTCTGGAGACTGGTTAGGCCACTCCAGGACCTTAATGTGCTTCTTCTTGAGCCACTCCTTTGTTGCCTTGGGCCATTGTCATGCTGGAATACCCATCCACGACCCATTTTCAATGCCCTGGCTGAGGGAAGGAGGATCTCACCCAAGATTTGACGGTACATGGCCCCGTCCATCGTCCCTTTGATGCTGTGAAGTTGTCCTGTCCCCTTAGCAGAAAAACACCCCCAAAGCATAATGTTTCCACCTCCATGTTTGACGGTGGGGATGGTGTTCTTGGGATCATAGGCAGCATTCCTCCTCCTCCAAACACGGCGAGTTGAGTTGATGCCAAAGAGCTCGATTTTGGTCTCATCTGACCACAACACTTTCACCCAGTTCTCCTCTGAATCATTCAGATGTTCATTGGCAAACTTCAGACGGGCCTGTATATGTGCTTTCTTGAGCAGGGGGACCTTGCGGGCGCTGCAGGATTTCAGTACTTCACAGCGTAGTGTGTTATCAATTGTTTTCTTGGTGACTATGGTCCCAGCTGCCTTGAGATCATTGACAAGATCCTCCTGTGTAGTTCTGGGCTGATTCCTCACCGTTCTCATGATCATTGCAACTCCACGAGGTGAGACCTTGCATGGAGCCCCAGGCCGAGGGAGATTGACAGTTCTTTTGTGTTTCTTCCATTTGCGAATAATCGCACCAACTGTTGTCACCTTCTCACCAAGCTGCTTGGCGATGGTCTTGTAGCCCATTCCAGCCTTGTGTAGGTCTACTATCTTGTCCCTGACATCCTTGGAGAGCTCTTTGGTCTTGGCCATGGTGGAGAGTTTGGAATCTGATTGATTGATTGCTTCTGTGGACAGGTGTCTTTTTATACAGGTAACAAACTGAGATTAGGAGCACTCCCTTTAAGAGTGTGCTCCTAATCTCAGCTCGTTACCTGTATAAAAAGACACCTGGGAGCCAGAAATCTTTCTGATTGAGAGGGGGTCAAATACTTATTTCCCTCATTAAAATGCAAATCAATTTATAACATTTTTGACATGCGTTTTTCTGGATTTTGTTGTTATTCTGTCTCTCACTGTTCAAATAAACCTACCATTACAATTATAGACTGATCATTTCTTTGTCAATGGGCAAACGTACAAAATCAGCAGGGGATCAAATACTTTTTTCCCTCACTGTATACAGTATGGTGTCCCTGCTGTCTCTTTTGGTTTATTTGACACCCCACTAATACAGTTGTATGACAGCAGTGTATCTGACATGAAGCTCTGTTACATATTGTTTCAGGTCATAGACATAACACTAATGTGATACCAAAACACTGGCATGGTGGTATGAGGGCTAAGCCAAGACCAAGAATACATATCACCTGATTCTAAAACCAATATGAGAAAGAGAGAGAGCAGAAAGCAAGAGAGAGCTACAGAGAGCTACAGAGAGAGAGAGAGAGAGAGAGAGAGAGAGAGAGAGAGAGAGAGAGATAGAGAGAGAGAGAGATATAGAGAGAGAGAGAGAGAGAGAGAGAGAGAGAGAGAGAGAGAGAGAGAGAGAGAGAGAGAGAGAGAGAGAGAGAGAGACTTAGAGCTACATTCACAGCTGCAGGGTGTTGCATAGTGAGGGAGAGAATAGTCTAAATTTGAACCACAACATGGAGTGTGATGATGTGCCACCAGAAACACAGCCATTTCTTCACTCTGGGAGCAGAGCAGAACCACAACGTTAAACAACAAAGGATAATCTGATCTCAGTGGGTCGACACCATAGGAACACATGATAACCCCCCTTGCCCCTTTACAGAGAACCTGTTCACTTCTAACAAACAGCCTGCCAGATAAACTCTGCTATTTTCTGCTAGGGCAAAAATAACATTCTGTACACAGTGTTATCTACATGTTATCAAGTAACAAAAATTGACATTTATAATGAATTTCCCAAAATGAGATCTATAGGAGACAATTGATTAAACACTGTCATCACAAAATAAGTTACTCAGTTAATCAAATGTTCTGTTTGTGTGACACATTGTTGCACACTAAACAACAGCATTGAATATATATTTTTTCAATTGTGCAGTGCATACTGCGAATACAAGCGTTGTGTTTTAGAGTGCGAGATGGCAACTAAGCGAGATGAAAGTCACAAATAATGGGAGCAACTGTGCCTGGGGCCACAGCCAGTCTCATTAAATGATTATCTCAGCAAAAACAGTGGGTTGTGTAACACCAGATTTCACAGATGTGGGTCAAGGTCATGTTATCTAATTCAAAAGCAACAGTTATACCACCACAGCTGATATACTGTTGCTCTTTATTTAATTAATGTGACTTGCGACAGCAAACATCCCACTTTAAATCTTTGTCATACTTCTGGCTTATTATTATTATTCTTTAGCACCCTACTCCTCTTACAACGTTTAAGCTAGAAACGCCGTTTTTTTTTTTTTTTTTTTTTTTTTTTAGTCATTTAGCAGACGCTCTTATCCAGAGCGACTTACAGGAGCAATTAGGGTTAAGTGCCTTGCTCAAGGCCACAGACAGATTTCACCTAGTCAGCTCTGGGATTAGAACCAGCGACCTTTCGGTTACTGGCACAACGCTCTTACCCACTAAGCTACCTGCCGCCCCAACTACCTGCCGACCCAACTTGAAAACATACAGACTCATTGTTTTCTGTACTTCTTTATTACAGTTGTCATATACTGTGGTATTCTAGTAAAGTGTAGTAGTCTGAGTGTAGTTATTTACAATGAAATGTGTGATCTAGCTGCCGCATCAAATCAAATTGTATTGGTCATATACACATATTTAGCAGATGTTATTGCGAGTGTAACGAAATGCTTGTGTTCCTAGCTCCAACAGTGCGGTAGTATCTAAGAATTCACAACAATACACACAAATCTAAAAGTAAAAGAATGAAAGAAATATATAAATATTAGGACGAGCAACGTCGGAGTGGCATTGACTAGAATACAGTATATACATATGAAATGAGTAAAAAAGTATGTAAATATTATTAAAGTGACTAGTGTTCTATTATTAAAGTGACCAGTGATTCCATGTCTATGTACAGTACATAGGGCAGCAGCCTCTAAGGTGCAGGGTTGAGTAACCGGGTGGTAGCCGGCTAGTGATGGCTATTTAACAGTCTGATGGTCTTGAGATAGAAGCTGTTTTTCAGTCTCTCGGTCCCAGCTTTGATGCACCTGTACTGACCTCGCCTTCTGGATGATAGCGGGGTGAACAGGCCGTGACTCGGGTGGTTGATGTCCTTGATTATCTTTTTGGCCTTCCTGTGACATCGGGTGCTGTAGGTGTCCTGGAGGGCAAGCAGTGTGCCCCCGGTGATGCGTTGGGTAGATCGCACCACACTCTGGAGAGCCCTGCAGTTGCGGGCGGTGCAGTTGCCGTACTAGGCGGTGATACAGCCCGACAGGATGACCTCAATTGTGCATCTGGAAAAGTTTGTGAGGGTTTTAGGGGCCAAGCCAAATTTCTTCAGCCTCCTGAGGTTGAAGAGGCAATGTTGAACCTTCTTCACCACACTGTCTGTGTGGGTGGACCATTTCAGATTGTCAGTGATGTGTACGCCATGGAGCTTTAAGCTTTTCACCTTCTCCAAATGTGGTCCTGTCTATGTGGATGGGGGCGTGCCCCCCTCTGCTGTCTCCTGAAGTCCACGATCAGCTCCTTCGTTTTGTTGACGTTGAGGGAGAGGTTATTTTCCTGGCACCACTCCGCCAGGGCCCTCACCTCCTCCCTGTATGCTGTCTCGTCATTGTTGGTAATCAGGCCTACTACTGTTGTATCCTAAGTAATAAGGTTGATATTGTCGTCTATCAAAGTAATCAGACCAATTATTTTACAAAATGTTACTTTGACTATATTTAATGGCTTCTCTTAAGTAAAACAATTTAAACTTCTCCCACTACCACAAAAATACTTTTAAAGAGTTAAAGCAAGTCCCCCAATTGTTCTTC